CCAAAGTGCTGATTAACAGGCATGAGCCACTGTGCCTGGCCCTTTTTCTTCTAATTTTAAAAAAAAAATGAACACATTTTTTTGTGGGCCCTAGGTATTGAGCCTACTATGCCTTACAGATAAGTCAGCCCTGTTAGAAATGTTTTAATATTGGCCCGGGAACGGTGGCTCACGCCTGTAATGCCAGCACTTTGGGAGGCCGAGGTGGGCAGATCACTTGAGGTCAGGAGTTCAAGACCAGCCTGACCAACATGGTGAAAACCCTGTCTCTACTAAAAATACAAAAATTAGCTGGGTGTGCCCTGGTGGGTGCCTGTAATCCCAGCTACTCAGGGAGGCTGAGGCAAGGAGAATTGCTTGAACTTGGAAGGCGAAGGTTGCAGTGAGCCGAGATGGTGCCATTGCAGTCCAGCCTGGGTGACAGAGTGAGACTCCGTCTCAAAACAAAAGAAAAGAATTTTTAATATGGAGACTACAACGCAGCAGTTCCTTATGCTGTACTATGGGGGGAAGTCTCAAGTGCCATAAGAGAGGCAGAAACCAAGTTCCACCAGCGTTCAAAAGGGAAAGGGTGTGAAGTTACATCTGGTTGGAAGAGGGATCACAAAGACTTCTTGGAGGTGGTAGTTTTGAAAACAGAATTTATCAAGTAGGCTGATAAGAGAGAAGCTTCTCAAGAAATTACAACAGCCAGATCAAAAGCATGGTGTAAACATGGGGAATAGTGCTAAGGTTATAGTTTGATGGGAATATGAGCATTTTGTTGAGAAAAGTGTGACATGAAACTTTTTTTTTTTTTTTTTTTTTTGAGACAAGGAGTTGCCCAGCCTGGAGTGCAGTGGCACAATCAATAGCTCACTGCAGTCCTCAAATTCCTGGGCTCAAGCGATCTTCCTGCCTCAGCCTCCCAAAGTGCTGGGATTTACACTATGCCTGGCCATTGTGGGAGGTCTTAAATGACACAGTGAAACATTTTCATTTTGTTTGGCAGGCAATGGGAGCTGCGGGAGGTTGTTTTTTTTTTTTTTTTTCTGAGTTGGAGTTTTGCTCGTCGCCAGGCCAAAGTGCAATGGTGTGATCCTCAGCTCACTGCAATCCTCTCGCCTCCTGGGTTCAAGGATTCTCATGCCTCAGCTTCTGAGAATGTAGAGAATAGCTGGACTACAGGCCCCACCACCACGCCGGGCTCATTTTTGCATTGTCAGTAGAGACAGGGTTTCACCCGTGTTGGCCAGGCTGGTCTCGAACTCCTAACCTTAGGTGATCTGCCTGCCTCACGCCTCCCAAAGTGCTGGATTACAGGCATAAGCCACCAAGCTTGCGCCCAGCCCCAGGGAGGTTTTTGAGCCGAGCAGATATGACTGAAAGCTGTGCTTAAGGAAAGTAACTCTGGCTTCATTGTGGGTGGGGGATTGGAGAAGTGAGGTTGAGGACAACAGAGTCTAGATAGGTTATTGCCTAAGTCCAGGTGAGAAACACTGAGAGCTGAAGTAGAGCAGGTGCAGTGGGACTGGAGAAGAATGGATAGATTTGAGACACATTTCAGGTATATAAGATATGATTGAAGGTTAATAAAAATGGATGAATTAATTAAGGAAGGAAGGAATGAAGAACTGAATGAATGCTACTTTTTTTTTTTTTTTTTTGAGACGGAATTTCACTCTTGTTGCCCCAGGCTGGAGTGCAATTGGCATGATCTGGCTCACCGCGCAACCTCCAAAAATGTGTTCATTTCTTTTAAAATTAGAAGAAAAAGGCCAGGCACAGTGGCTCATGCCTGTAATCCCAGCACTTTGGGAGGCCGAGGAAGGTGGATCACCTGAGGTCGGGAGTTCGAGACCAGCCTGACCAACGTGGAGAAACCCAGTCTCTACTAAAAATACAAAATTAGCCCATGGGCATGGTGGTGGGTGCTTGTAGTCCCAGCTACTTGGGAGGCTGAGGCAGGAGAATCGCTTGAACCCGGGAGGTGGAGGTTGCAGTGAGCCGAGATTGCGCCGCTGTACTCCAGCCTGGGCAACAAGAGTGAAATTCCGTCTCAAAAAAAAAAAAAAAAAAGTAGCATTCATTCAGTTCTTCATTCCTTCCTTCCTTAATTAATTCATCCATTTTTTATTAACCTTCAATCATATCTATACTACCTGAAATGTGTCTCAAATCTATCCATTCTTCTCCAGTCCCACTGCCACTGCTCTACTTCAGCTCTCAGTGTTTCTCACCTGGACTTAGGCAATAACCTATCTAGACTCTGTTGTCCTCAACCTCACTTCTCCAATCCCCCACCCACAATGAAGCCAGAGTTACTTTCCTTAAGCACAGCTTCAGTCATATCTGCTCGGCTCAAAAACCTCCCTGGGCTGGGCGCAAGCTTGGTGGCTTATGCCTGTAATCCCAGCACTTTGGGAGGCTGAGGCAGGCAGATCACCTAAGGTTAGGAGTTCGAGACCAGCCTGGCCAACACGGTGAAACCCTGTCTCTACTGACAATGCAAAAATGAGCCCGGCGTGGTGGTGGGGGCCTGTAGTCCCAGCTACTTCTCTACATTCTCAGAGGCTGAGGCATGAGAATCCCTTGAACCCAGGAGGCAGAGGTTGCAGTGAGCTGAGATCACACCATTGCACTTTGGCCTGGGCGACGAGCAAAACTCCAACTCAGAAAAAAAAAAAAAAAAAACAACCTCCCGCAGCTCCCCATTGCCTGCCAAACAAAATGAAAATGTTTCACTGTGTCATTTAAGACCTCCCACAATGGCCAGGCATAGTGTAATCCCAGCACTTTGGGAGGCTGAGGCAGGAAGATCGCTTGAGCCCAGGAATTTGAGACTGCAGTGAGCTATGATTGTGCCACTGCACTCCAGGCTGGGCAACTCCTTGTCTCAAAAAAAAAAACAAAAAGTTTCATGTCACACTTTTCTCAACAAAATGCTCATATTCCCATCAAACTATAACTAGCACTATTCCCCATGTTTACACCATGCTTTTGATCTGGCTGTTGTAATTTCTTGAGAAGCTTCTCTCTATCACCTACTTGATAAATTCTGTTTTCAAAACTACCACCTCCAAGAAGTCTTTGTGATCCCTCTTCCAACCAGATGTAACTTCACACCCTTTCCCTTTGAACGCTGGTGGAACTTGTTTTCTGCCTCTCTTATGGCACTTGAGACTTCCCCCCCATAGTACAGCCATAAGGAACTGTCTGCGTTGTAGTCTCCATATTAAAAATTTTCTTTTCTTTTGTTTTGAGACGGAGTCTCACTCTGTCACCCAGGCTGGACTGCAATGGCACCATCTCGGCTCACTGCAACCTTCGCCTTCCAAGTTC